TTATATATAATTATATATAGATATATATGATTATATATAATTATATATGATTATATTTGGCCATTTTTCATATATAATCGTATATAACCAATTTGTATATAAATATATATAATTATATATAAATATTTTTTCTCGGGCATGTTCATGTCTGATCAGGCCTGTCCATGCCTGTTCATGTTTGAAGCATTAAATATGCTCAGGCCTGTTCATGCCTAGAAAAGTTAATTAAAATTACCCTACGGTAGGTTTTTAATGATGATCAAAATACTTTTATTTATTGAATAATAAAATATACCGTTTATTGATAATTTACAAATTTATTAATCGAAATTAATGTACACACACTGAACATATTCAAAAATGTATTCTTAGCAAATTTGTTCCTTAGCATGAATAGGCATGGACAGGTATGATCGAGCTTGAGCGTATTTAACGCTTGAGATATGAACAGACATGGACAGGCATGAACAGGTATGATCAGGTCTGTGCGTATTTAACGCTTCAGACATGAACAGGGATGAACAGACATGAACAGGAATGGACAGGTATGATCAGGCCTGAGCGTATTTAACACTTGAGACATGAACAGGCATGGACAGGCATGACCATGTCTAATTTCAGGCCTGATCATACATGAACAGACATGAGCAGGTCTAATTTCAGGCCTGATCATACATGAACAGGCATCGTCAAGTCTGATCATTTTTTCCGGGATGGATCTGATCAGACTTGCATATAGTCAGAGATGTGATAAAAATTTTTTCTTTGACGAAAAAAATTTGTTTGGTCATCACAAAATGTGCAAAATTATTTTCATCATTACGTTTAAATAATTTTGAAATAAAAAATTTATTACATTTCCTAAGGGAAGTTTTGGTCTGCTCTGCTCCTGCCTAATATTAAAATCATTACTTATTTTATTATTTAAATAAATGTGATGTTATAATGAGATTCGGTTAAATAAATGAATTAGGACTATCACAATATATATTATAAAATCAATTTTTATATTATATTTATGATAAACTTATTCGATACGTTATGTACTTCATAGAATTGTTATCACCTAAGATAGCAGCACAGCAGGCGGGAACTTCAAGGCGCACGGATATCACCAAAGATAAACAGCATTGAGCGTGATTAGTAGTCGGATGGGTGACTGCTGGTGTTACAGCCGTACAATTATATGTAATCATTTTTAACTTCCCGCTAAAAATCTCAGATTTTCAAAAATCGGGAAGTTATTGTTTTCATCCCGTTTTGCAAAAATCGAGTTTTCATCAGATCTCGACGTTTTAAGGTCATAGTAAGCTTTCCTGACTACCCTCGCGGTGGTGTCCGTATGTCTGTATGTGTGTGTGTGTGTGTGTGTGTGTGTGTGTGTGTGTGTGTGTGTGTGTGTGCACACGCGCGTGTGTGCGCGCGTGTGTGTGTGTGGATGTATGTAAACCTCTTATAACTTTTGAACGGCTTGACCGATTTGATCGCGGTTGGCGCCATTCGAAAGGGCTTGCCCAAACTTAGATTTTCTGAAAATTTGAACCGATTTGGACCGATAGATTTTGAGAAATCGTAAAAAAAAAAAAATTTTTTTTCAAAAGTGGTTTTTTTGAAATAACTTTTAAACGGCTCTACCGATCAATTTCAAAATCTAATCAGCTCTTAACGTCAAAAAACCACGTCGATCGCCGCCAGTCCGGTCAAAATCGGTTAATTCGTTCGTGAGTTATCGTTGACGAAAGAAAACCGAAAAAAGCGTTTATTCGAAATTACTTCGAATTTTTCCACTCTGTCGATATAAACTCAAAGATTTTTTATGAAGCTTAAAAAACTGCGTCGAATGCCGCCAACCTCGTGAAAATCGGTTCATTCATTCAAAAATTGCGATTTGAAAATTAAAAAAATAGTGTTTTATCAAACTTTTGAGCTCGAAGAGCTCAAAAGCATACAAAAGCTATTTTTTTGAGCTCAGAGATCTCAAAATAATACTCAAATTGTATTTATGAGCTCGAAGAGCTCTAAAACTTCATAAGTGCAATTTCAAGCGTTTAGGTATAGAATTGGCGGGAAGTTGCAGGGATGGCCTTTAGGGTCAACCGTTTTCCTAATTTTTTTTTTTATTTTAATTCATTATAGAGGATTGCGTATGACTCTATCAAATACTATATCCATAAAATTAAGCAAAATAATTAATTAAAAGTAACAATGGGCTTTCAGACCTGACCATGTCTAATCAGGCCTGATCAGGTCAATTCATGCCTGATCAGGCATGGTCATTTTTCATGTCTGATCAGGCCTGAAGACTCATGCCTGTTCATGTTTGATCAGGTCTAATCATTTTTTCCCGGGTAGTTTGAATTTAGAGTCATTAGATTTGAACGATACTAGTTTCAGGGTAGAACAAAAATAAATAAGTCAAGTCGTGCAATATTTTTTATTCCTTATCAATAATTAATGTCAAATCTATGAATAATAAATTTAAATAACAACAAAGGCACTATATATACAAAAATAATACAAAATTCGATCATAAAGACCGTCAAAGTAATAAAAATCTTAAAAAATGTTGTTGTGTAAAAATTGTTAAGTTACTCCATCTTCAGTTTTTCTTTTTTAAATTATTATTATTATATACACTCATCTTTTCTTCACATCTTCCAATTTAGTATTCAATAAATAATAATTAAAATTCTTATTTTATTCATAAAAATAATTATTTAATTTAAACTAAATTATTTTATTTTTTTACATATTTTATTATCGAACAGTAACACCATTAATAGTGATACCATTTCTAGGAGGTGGTTCGGCTTCGTAATGGCCAGATCGATTGTAGGTTCTTCCGTTTTGTCTACTATATCTACAATAATAATAATAAAAATTAATATTTAATTAAATCAGTTATTTTCTGTAATTGAAAACTATCACTTATAAAAATGACTATGAATTATAATGGTTTGCATAATGTTCATAAACTCACCCATACGTGCTTCCACTGCCACTGTAAGGACTGTCATAAAGACCATCTTCAGGAACATTTTCATACATTTTATTGCTTGTACCATCATTTAAGCTAGAATATGACATTACAGCTGCATTTTGATCTTCTTTTCTTTCAGCTGCTTGGATATTTTCTGTATTTTTTACCGGTGTTGCTTTGCGTCTGTAAAACAATAGAAATGTCATAAAAAAACAATGTATTAAAACATTAACTGTTAAACTAATTCCTGATTTAATTTTGATTTTTATCAAATTCAAATTAAACTTACAATCTTAAATAAACTAATCCAAGAATTAATAAAATAAAAATGATAACTCCAGCTCCAATGCCAACACTTGTACCAACACCTTGAGCCTCTGCTATTTCGTTGGAAATCACTTAAAAAAAAAAATACATTTATATTAATTTAGTAAATTTGTTAGTAATCATTGATTACTAATCAAATACCTTTAGCTTACATTGAAGTTTAAAGAAAAATTCAAAATTTTCAATTATTGATAACAATTAATTATGTTCATGTCAATTGTGGAAATTATCGAAATTTATTGTCCACGAGTCAACACACAAAAAAAAATGTTAGAGTTGAAGAAATAATAATTTTTGAAGTTATACTTCTTTTGGCGCGATGGAGAAAAATGATGAGAGTGAATTTTTACGATGCGCGCGCACACCGACACCTAAATTTAACATCGTAAAGTTAGTTCTAGGTCGTATGAAAATTGATAACTATGTTCAAGTTGTATATTCTAGTATTTTTATATTTAAAACACGTGTTTCGTAACAGTACAATTAAACAGCGTGAATAAATAAATATTATTTTGGTGTTTTTGGATTTTATTTTTGATAATTAAATTAGAACAAAAAAATATTTTTCAAAAATTGCACTTACAGTTTTTGAAGTTTTTTTACAAGTGAAAAATTTTTTTTTTATTTTTTTGTAATCATTTTTTCAATAAAAAAAATTCTAAAAATTTTTATATGTCAGCTAACTTAATTTTCATAATAATTAAAATATTTTATAACGATCGATTGTAAACTATTGATACTTTGAAGCTTTAAAATTAGTTGATTTAGAAAAATTTTAAATAATATTGAATTAAATTCATATGATAATTAATGATTTTATATTTATACGGTATAGCTAAATTTTTACTATAATAAAACCTATTTGAATTTTTTTAACATTTTTCTTCCATCATTTTTGCATTTTGCACGACTCATGATGCGATGCATCAGAGAGTGCTTTACGATCGAAAAATTTTTTTCGCCTCATTTTGGCAGCTATTTTTATTATTATAGCCTTGTTAGTTCAAGGAATCAAGATATTTTGCATACTATTGTCGAGATAATTTAATGGAGATTAATTCCATACTTTTTAAAAATTGATTTACTGCAATAGAATTGGAAAAAAACACCAAAATATGTCAAAAAATTTTCCCGTCCGTTATGCGTGAAACCCCGGAAACACTGTAATAACTTGTGAAAAAATCCATTATTTGAGTTAAATTTTTTTTTTAAAAATTCTAATCGATGATTGTAGGTCACTGAATGCGAATGATTAATTAATTCAATGTCGCTTAATTACAATTAATAAAAAACGAAAACTAAAAGACTGTATATCTATATATATCCATGTAAAATTAACACGGATGGTGACAGTGACATATCTATAGATATTATGTACATTTATTCCACCAGGAGCGCTTGTGCAGTACCTTCCTAGTACAGCTGTTTTTTCGGCAACTAATTTTGAACGACTTAT